CTGTAGCTACAAAATACATGTCTACGTAAATTAAATAAGTCAACGCATCAAATTAATTTAAAGCTAGGACATCAGGGACAATGGATATAAATATTAATTGTTGAGGATCTATCTCGTATAATGAATAACTGATGTTACGGTAAAATTATCAATTTCCCGGGCAGGACCGGCGGCCCAGGACCGGGACTCCGGGACTCGACAGACCCTTAACTTTGGGACTGAGAAGTTTGAACAGGGTTGGCTAATAGAACAAACTATCATTAAGCAAACATGTAATAAATCATACACGGTATGTATTTCAAGATTTGATGTTTATAGTATAGTATTTTATTATTATGAATAATAATGTGCCAAACAACGTATCCATTACCTGGTCTCAGTAACTAAGAAATTCCCTGTGCTGAGTGCCAGAGCAACGAAATCCACTCAAAGGCACTACCCCAGACCAAAACCAATTTAGAAAAGTTCGTTCCAAATTAATTCTACCGGGATTCGAACTCCTACGGTGCTCGTTGCTAAGCCACTGCGGTCGTCAACTAATTGAATACAAACAAGTTCTTTTTAACCGACTTCAAAAAAGGAAGAGGTTCTCAATTTGACTGTATGTTTTTTTTGGTTTTTTGTATGTAATTACGCGATAACTCCGGTATTTATGAACCGATTTTCATGATTCTTTTTTTGTTGGAAAGGGGGGAATTCCATAGTGGTCCCATTTCATTTTGAAGAAAATCATCCACCTCTAGGGTGACTGTTCACTTCATTTCTATAAATAGCGTCTAAATTTTACTTAAGGAGCAATTATTTTAATGGTTGATTTTGCTATTTCTCCAATTCACGGCGTTTTTCTCTCAATGTGCTTGGAGTAGTGAGAACCGATTTTTATTATCTCCAGTGTCAAGTCCTGCATAGTGGCGAATTTAAGGATATTTCAATAAAACTTATTATGATACCAAGTTACGGAACGAATAAGTCGTGCACCTGGTGGTAAGCGATAACCCTGTCCATAACAGTTGCAGTGCCCCTCAAACCTGAAACATAAGGTGACAAGTCCAATGTGCCTGTAATTTCACCAGTATCATTACCCTTCAAAATCGGAACACAGAAATAGGTAAGGTGGCAATACTTCCCTGTACTAACTCTTTCACAAGGAACTCTACTAGTTGTTTATAGTGATTAAACTCCATTGATATTTATCATTAATGCACTAAAACTCCTGTAAAAAAAAGTGTCTAACTAGTTTACTTTAACAGTCGATGGCAACCCTAATTCACCCCTTTACTCGAATAGTGTATATTGCAGCATAAAAGCAATTCAGCAAATTGTTATCGGCATGTTAATAGTTTGAATGTCGCATGTCCTGCAGACTTGTCGGCTCGTGTGCGAGGCGTTTTATGGCAGTTGCCGCGTTTTGATGTGCAGTAGGGTGAATGTTTGGTTTATTTGTTTGTCCATGATATTGAATATGGTTACAGTTCTACGTTGTACAACGTCTTAACGGCACAATGCAAACTGTTTTATAGAAAATACAATAGTTGTTGTTTCTAATTTTTAATAGCACCTATGAATACAAGAGTATGAAAGCTACATACATGTAATGAACGGACAAGCGTGACTCCCTATACAGTTAGCGTCAAATCCTTTTTTTGTACATGTACAGACAAAAAAGAGAAGTTTGACAGAAAACAGCCACAGTGTAAATAGGTAAGGGTGATTTTTGACGGACGTATATGGAAATACCTAATAATGCGAGTGTAATTGATGGATTCGGACGTTACTTTGCGGAAGTCCATGTCAATAAAAATGGAAGTAAATTAATTTGGTACTCTGCGAACCTAGTGAAGGTTAAATCGTCAAAAATAGCTGTGCTTGTGTTGAATATTTTTTCATGCAGTTAATTTTGCCTCTCTCCGCATAAAATTAATAACGCAAGAGCAACTACAATCACAGACACCACCACCAAAAATATACCCGACACGTGTTTCGTTTCTCTACGAGACATCCTCAGGGGCTATTAATTGCTCGACTCTCGGCCGATGATTGCTCGAGGCACTGGGTTCGCGGAGTAGCAAATTAACTTACTTCCATTTTTATTAACGCGACTGTGCCCGAGTTACGTCAGAAACGTGCTATACCACCAAATCAGACCAGATAGATCTACCAGTGGGAGACATTCCCGTTAGGCGTGTCTTAGCAGCAGTAAAGGGTTGTGAAAGTGTGAAAGAGTTCACCCAGGGTAGTACTGCTGCCTTACCTATTTCTGCCGACAAGCACTAATATTGGCATTACTGCGTTCCGGTTTTAAAGGTTAAGGGTGCTGGTGAAATTGATTGAAGTTTTATGTCTCTGGGTGACGTGCACTTTATGAACAGCCGCGTCACTTACCACCAGGCGGACAACTTGTTCGTCCCGTCACTTGGTAACTTTAAAAAAACTGAGCTTCAGTAAGACCTGAACGGTTCAATTAACCAAAAATACTTATAAAAATAAAGATAAATAAAAAATAAAAATAAAACTCTTTGTATTTACATTCTTTGTATCTATTCTCCTTTTTTTAGAAAATCCAAGGTACGATAGTGAACCGTAGTTATTATGGCATGGATTGTATTATTAAGTATTATTGTATCTGACTCCTTCTTATAAGTAGATAGCATCTAGAGATTAGTACCAAAGGGTGTTAGTTTGACCGTTCACACCATCTTGAAGCTATACCGATTACAGCTGTTATAATTCTTCTTTATAAGCCTATGTGGAGCAGTGAACTACGATAATGTGATATAGGTAACTTCAGTTAAGTATTGTATACAGTTGGTAAAATTACCATCAAAGTCACATAAAACTTAGCGAAACCTAAAGTATAGAGAGCCTGCCATCTTTCTGAAAGCAGATAGCGTATAGTAATGAATATTGCCTCAAGACAGTGTTTGTGGAGTTAGGCAATGTTGTACAACTGGCCGCGGGTGCGCATCTGTCGCTGTAGCAACCCTTTTACTAGGGTGCATATACCTACGATTATATCGTGCAGAACTTGGCGTCTTACTTATCGGTAAACTAGGCGTCGTACTTCGTGATTCACCTGTACAGGAATACCAAATATTATATTTATTATACAAGGTTCTTTTTAAGGCATCGTGTTAAAAGTTAATTTTCCTATCTGTAACATAAACAAGTATTAGTCTACCAATTTTAGAAATTCAATTGAAAAATTGTTTTAGCTTTCCATACAAATCGAAGAAACAGTTATTACGAATTTAACTACGTACCTGTATATTTATTTTACTCTGTATTGGACTCAATCTGTAGCTCAGTTGGTAAAAGCGGTGGCCCCAGCATGGCAACAGACACTGAGTCGAGTAAAGGAATTTTTGTTTGTGTTGTTCGATCTTTGTATACTTTAAAAAAGATACAAACATTAAGGCTCAATTTATATTGCGGCGTAACGGAATGGAAGCGAATTTTTGTAACGATATTGTACAATGGAACAAAACAACCTGAACATATTCTCATAACAGATATATCGCTTGCTTTACATGCACTAAATTTAAGCATCTCTAACTCTACTACTTCGTAGAAATACACGATAAACAAAACACTACAGAAACTAATTAACAACTCCAAAACAAGAACGACGCAATCAATCCGCAATTACCACACCGCGTGGTCACCCCACACGGTGACCCTATAAATAATTCACCTCATTAGATCCATTGCACCTTTTGCTACTCTCCTGTGCGAGCTAGTTTATAAGGATATTGATAGAGACAACTTTTGCTTTGTGATTGGGTTTCTGTGTTTGAAAATAGAGCTACTTATTTGCTGATATTGCCGTAAGATTTCTGATTCAAACAACATTTTCAATTGACGTAGAAATGAATAAGTGTTACTACATTCTCAACTTTTAACTCTATAGACGTTTCAAGTGCCTTTTTATTGGCATTAAAACACAACAACACGCCTACGCAACGTTTAAATTTTCGGTCAGTAAAATGAAATAGCGGCAGCATCTTCAGTCCAAAGATTCGTAATAAATCTCGTGTAATAACTTGCCGACAAAATTATGCCGATGCCGAATCTCGCCAAAATGATTTACAGCTGATGCAAATCTAGTTTTCAAAGCCTCGAGCCCCGCACCGACCCCAGACAAGACATTTAATTACCCCGTAATTTATCTCCCCACATTAATCTGCCGCTTCTGGCAACATTCAAAAATAAAATTAAAAAAAAACACCGAATCTATCCCCTTGATTACAAGCTGTCACGTCGTAGGATTTTTTCTAAGCCCTCAATTGTAATTAGTCACGTTGGTTTTGTACCTTAGCCGTCGAGACTGGTGAACATCCATTTTCTTAAATGCGGACTGTAATTGGCCCCTACCTCGTGTTGCCAGCCACCAAATTTATTGCTTAATTACCTCAAGAAAACGCGTCGCGCCGACCATCTCCCCAACAGATGTTTTTTATTCGCGTGGAAAAACAAAACGATTTAAGAATGACATTAATTAATTCTTAATGAAATTCATCTTCACCCTCCCGTGTTTAATTTAAAACAGCGATTTATTGCACGCACAATTTGTCGCCGGCGCCCCCAATTAAACAAGCCTTCGTAATTACATTTATTAACATTAACTTATACAAATAGTTTGACAACTCCGCGTTTTGATTACAAACGAAGTACATGATCAGAAATCCACCACTAAAGTTACAAAAGGACTGAAGGACTACAAAATAAATTACTACTAACACCATTGAAATCTTGAGGTACCTATTATTAAAACATATACTCTTACACAAAAAGCCATCTCTTGTCTATTTTTCAATTTTAAGTTTAATGAAAAATGGACCAAAAATGTCTTGTATTACATAGTATATTTACTGCGCCCGTTTAATATTTTCTCTGGTAAGGATCCTCTACAGTCCCTTGAAACAAAGGCTCTTCGTATCTTAAATAACCTTCGTCTGGCCTCACTACATCCTGAAAAGCTTTATGTGTTAACGGCTCATTGTAGTTCACACTCACATCGTCATGATATTGATGGCTATTAATCAAATTCCTATTAGCATTTCTATTCGGTGCAACATTCCCGTTATTTTTATACAAATCTTCCTTTTTTGGCAAAATCGGTGTTGGTGTCACCTTATCTTCAATTTTCTTGTCTTTGACGACTGTACCAGCTCCAGCCAAGTCTCTATAATTCCTATCTTCCTTTCTCAGTGGCGCGTATGAGTAAGGATTTCTATTCCTGAACCTGTAATCGTACCTACCTGTCCTTGCATAATAATCATCATCTAAACGCCTATAAGGATCAGCTGTGTATCTGTATCTTAAGTCGACACTTGGCGGTGTACGTACAACCTCAGGCAAATGAGCATAGTAAATAATCCTTTTCGGTTTTCTAGAGACATAATTATCATAGGGCTCGTCGTATCTGTCTATTCTGGGTCTTGGTCCATAGCCAGGATTCAATCTTCTTCGATCATAAATATCATAGTAAGGGTCACGCCTGTATAGATCATCTACTGGGTACGCCCGATCATCGAAGTACCTCCTCGATTCTTCAGGATAATACACTGCTTGCCGAGGATAAACTGGTTTGTACAACTTAGCTCTGCCATCTTCATCGGGTCTCACAAATTCTGTCCTAATATCATTGTTTCTTGATGGCCGCTGAATAGATTCCTTATCATTTCTTGACTCTGAGGTTTCAAGGGCTTTGTTTTGCGTTACGAAGTTAATTCTAGGCATTCTAGAATTGATTAAGTCACCGTTCGGTTGTGGAGGTGTCAGAATGTCATCCTGAGAATCATCACGAGCAGGATAAGGCAGTTTGATCCAATTTTCATTGGACGCCCTTGCTCCTCTGCCAATTGGTTTATCAGTAACCTTTTCTGTAGTTTGATACAGAGGTAAAACCTCTTTAACATCTTCATTTGTAAGAGATACCCTCGTTGTAGGGTCTTCTGATAGAAATGTATGAGGTACCCAAGGAGTTGGTTGGTTTGAATTGCCTGGCTGACTGTTGCCGTTGTTGTTGTTAGAGCTGTCAGACTGGATATTGTAGTACTTTTCTTCTTCTATTACACCACGACGCCCTCTGATTTCTGAATTTACATTCTCCTGTAAATATTTAACAAATAGATATGTTTATCGATTCAGATATTTAAACACGCTTTAATTATACTTTAATAAACTCAAATACCTGTGCATGTTCTACAAGGCCGTGTTGCAGTTCAACAGAAAGCGTAGATGTCATAAGAATACTACTCCAAAATAGTATTACGTAAAAATACGTCATGATTGTTGAGTGTTTCTATCCCTGTAATTTAAAGAAAAAAAAAATTCGATTATTTTCTTTTAACTACATACCTATAACAAATAGGCACAAAAAGGATTTCTGATGTGATGTTATAAAACTAGGGGTCAACGCTTAAATAACACTGAAACAAAAGTCCTAAAACAACGCAACATATTACATCAATTTACGCAAAAAACAATTGAATGTGATCTGTTGGAAAAACCAGTTTATTAAAATTTTGCAGGTACGGTGACCGCAGCCAGTATGGACGGAAATGTGATGAAATCAAACGGAAGCCAGCAAGTGTGGCCAACCGTGAATATTATCTAAAACAGCGAACATGTCCTCGTGACAAATTCGGATTTAACTAACATAATAACAATTGAGAGACGAATTTTATATGACCGACGAATCATGATTACGGAGTTACGGACCATTTTAGTTGTATGTAATTGAATAAATTGTCTATAAAAGTACAAATTCCGGATTAACTACCATGTTAAATGTCCCTCACGAAACCTTGGGAAAATGCTTAAACTATGTACAGATACACGCTATAATCTAAAACATAAACAACAATCTTGTCTTGGAACATGAGTTGTGGTGTTGTTAAACTTCTTCTGTTTAAGTTCTGAGCTCAATTATAAGTTTTCACGACTGTATCTACCCAGAACAAGGGGAATTGAAGATATTTTGTTTAAATTTAATGTATATGTAGTTAAAATCACATCAGTCGCTACAATTCTTTTAGTATTGTATAGAGTCAATTTAATTTACATTAACAAATTCTAAAATTTAAATGTGCTTATTTTAGGCGCCTATTCTTTGATTTGCCATTATTTTGTCTGCTTTTAATGCTACATTTTTCTTTTCGTACACATGTTATACTTTTATGCTTGTTTAAATGAACTGTGAGTAGATACATTTCCTTTCGTCTTGCTCACTCTGCGTTCGTACCCGAACCCGATAATTTAACGGATGTCGGGTACAATATCTTTTACTGTCTTTTACTTTATCAAAGCAAAACTTGAGAAATCATATCGAGTTCTTTGGTTTTCGCGATTGTTACACATAGGAAATGAAACTATTTTTCCGGATTTAAATTGTAAAGTAAAGGTAAAGGTGTAAAGGGCCCGAAACGTCGGTTTGTTTGAAAAAACAAATATACACGATTTAAATCCGGAAAAATAGTTTCATTTCCTATTGAGAAATCATGTTGCTTAAAACTATATTAAGATAATAATGGGCGTTTTTTAATCGAATGAACACCACTAGCGTTATTGAAACCAAGACAAATTTCATTAGAATATTACAAAAGATAGACCACCAAAAACAAACCAATAAATATTCTACCCATGAATTAATCACAAACAACAAAAGAATCAAAATTTCCCACAAACTAGGCGTTAGCCTGTAACATACGGATAGTACACCCGTTCCGCTCCATATACTGATTGACAATGTTTGTCTGTTTGTATCGATACCCGTTATACTCTTTCTCTACTGATGTCCTATTCAAATCGTTTGACCTAGTTAAGGTTTAAATCGTTTAAGTAAGGTTAACTACTTCCTTTTCTAGTTAATCAATGGCTGTAAAGATCCATTCTAAATAACTGAGTTTGACTGATAAATTGAAAATTTCAATAGCTCTGAAGTATTGATTTAGTTAATCTGTGGTATTTAGTTAATGTTTGGAAAATAACAAAAAAGTTAATTTCATTTTTTTGGTTATATCTTTTATTTAAACGTTTAAAAGAAACAATTTAAAGAAACTTCTCCTAGGAGTTCGTAGGAATTTGCCTATTGTCTCTGTTCTCTACAATATTCTTCATAAGCCTTCGTCTCCCGAGTATCTGAAAGAGTTTCATCTTTCTCAGGTCTCAGGACGAAATCTTTTCCTTCCTTCAATTCCGATTTTTATACTGACTCCTTTACTGTTCATGCGGGCAGACTTTGGAACGCACTTCCTATTTCTGTTCACGAAAGTACGTCATTAGCTACTTTCTTTTAAATTGTGCGTTAATTAGCATTATTTATCTACTGTTCCATCCATTTTATAGGTATTATATTTTGAAATATGTATTTATCTAAATATTTATCTAGTTTATAATAGTTTAATGTTATTAATATTGTATTACATAATTTTGTTTTTTGTAGCCCGTAATTATAGTTATTTTGTCCTGTATTTAGGTCTGCAGGAAGAAATTTCGTATAGATATAAGCAGTACCTTTTCTTTCTGTTTTCTTTTTATTGAATGTATTCTGTGCTTTTTTCCAGAGCAATAAATAATAATAAAAAAACGATTTTTTATATATATTTCAGTAAAATTTTATGAAGAGTACGGACTTACGTCCGTGTATGTATGTAGAGAAACATTCTTTCCAAGATAACTGTTGCTGAACGATCAAATAAAAAAAATACAAAATTATAATCCATCATGATCTTCAACCCATTTATACTGCCGTCCACTAACGTGACAAATGGTTGCATAACCGTTTTAAATGGCAAAAAATAGAACACAAAATTCTGTTTTAAAAACCGTTCATGGCCAGGCTAAATAAGTAAGTCAGTCGATAGAGTACTATGGGTATTTATTACTATAAAAAACGGAGCACAGAGATATTACACAGATACTATGACGTAAGTAAATACTTATAACAGGAACTAATACAAAATTACAGCAGAAGAGACGCGCGCATATGAAAGACTTCTAACTGGAACCAGTGTTAAACGCGGACTCTTGGACACTAATGCTCTGGCCACACAGAGGCGGCCGCGGAAGCGTTCCGGGCGCGGGATTTTTTGTAATGTACCAGTTCTTATGAACCCTGCCACACTGAAAGGCGCGGCGGCCGCGGGGCGAGGCGGCGCGGTGCGGGGCCGCACGCCATGACAAACAGGCAGAGCGGGCGCGGGCCGCGGCCGCGGCGTCCGCGGGGCGGGTGCGGTCGCGGGTGTTGTAATACATTGAGTTCTATGCAACCGTTCACACAGCGCGTCAGTGGCGGGGCGCGATCCGGGAGCGGGGCTTCAGCGGGCTTGGACGTTGTATTTTTTTACAACTAGGGAATGTGTTTTAATTGATTTTAATCAAGTTTCAAGATGAATTCGACGGAAAAACTTATATCATTGGTGCAATCATACCCCAGTTTATTTAATACAAGTGATAGAAATTATAAAAACATAGAAATTATTTGGGAAACAATTCCGAGGAGCTAAATCAAGATCGTGAGTATATTTTTTATGTTTTTAATTATTATTAAAATAATTGCCAAATTTTTCTCTGATTTCAATTGCATAATCAGACGATCTTTGATTTGTACGAATTGGAAGTAGTTCATTGGCCTCAACTGGTTGAGAATCGCTCTGTTGAACCGCATTGTTACCGTTCTTACTTTAATGAAATTGTGTAAACAACACGTGACTTTGACAACTTCTATTGTCGTTTCAATATCATATTGCATGAAACGTCTATAGACTTGCCATTTCTGTGTTAGCTGGCCGAATACGTTGTGGAAAACGTCTCCCTCCATCAATAACAATCAACTGTGAGATACCTCTTCTCTTCTCTAAGAAAAAAACATGACGCCGTAGATTATCTGTTCATTAGTTATGCAGAGAACATTTAAAAAACTGAAACCCACAATTCAAGCCGAAATCAAATTGAAACTTGCACACATTTTTACAGAAGCTGAACTGAACGACCTAGAAGAAAATCAAATTTCAGTAGCACCGGTACAATCTCCTTAATTTACCGTAATTAGCACAACAAGTAATAACGATCAAGAATGTATCCCAGTTTCATTGCAACTAATTCCTGAAGACTTGTGTTTCCCATTATGGTACCTGTAATATAGTTGATGACTAAACTACACAGGGTAATTCCAAAAGGTATGGTACTGAATTAATGCTGTGATAACATAAAAAATGTGATGATGAATGCTAATTTAATAAATAAAAAGTTAAATAAATAAACAGTTAAGTTTAATAAGTAGCAACCAAGGAGTTATATAATTTTTATTAGAGTATTGAATGGTCTACAAAACACTTTTTGTTTGAATAAGTTTGCATTGTTAGTTCTGAGATGTTGATTTTTATGTTAGTGACTCGGATTCATTGCTCCCGAGTGTATAAGTAGGTATATAAGTTAAGTATAATTGCAATTATGCATTGTTCATAATAATTTAAGTAGGTACATAAAATTAAATAGAATTGTTGTTGATTCTACAAATCTTAGATGCCTGTTATTTGTTAAAATAAAAAATCATGGGCCGTAGGAAGCCAGCATTAGACTGATAGTAAAAGAAGTTTGAATTAATTGTGTTAAGATTGTTGATTGTTCATAATAATGTAACTTTCGATAGGGACCTATTAATTATTTGTTAAAATAAAAATGCCCAGCGAGTTTGTTAGAAATAGAAGTTTTAAGTTAACTATGTTAAAATTGCTCAAAATAATATAAGTAGGTACATAAGTTAAATACAATTGTTGTTACATAAATCTTAGATAGATACATATTATTAGTTAAAATAAAAACGCCCAGTGAGACTGCTACAAAAAGAAGTTTCAAGTTAATTTCAATTGCAATTCAAAATAATCAGATGACAAATAATTTGTCAAAATAAAAATGCTCAGTGAGACAGATAGAAAAAGAAGTTTCAAGTTAACTATGTTAAGATTGTTCAAAATAATGCACTTATGTAGATACATAACTTAAACAAAATAGTTGGTGTTATACAAATCTTAGATAGGTACTTATTATTTATTAAAATAAAAATGCCCATTTGGACTGATAGAAAAAGAAGTTTCAAGTTAATTACGTATATAGATTGTTAATAATAAAGTAAGTAGGTACAGTAGTTAAATGCAATTATTATTGTTGATTCTACAAATCTTATATACCTATTATTTGTTATAATGAAAATGCCCAGTGAGTCTCACTGAAAAAATAGTTTCAAGTTAATTGTGTTAAGATTATAGAATTTTTTAAATGTTTTTAAATAAACAATTTCTGTTCATA